TGCTCAAGCAATTGAGCCTTACAGAATGACAGAATAACAGAAGAGTTGGAAGGGACCTTGGAGGTCTTCTAGTCCAGCCCTCTGCTCAAGCAATTGAGCCTTACAGAATGACAGAATAACAGAAGAGTTGGAAGGGACCTTGGAGGTCTTCTAGTCCAGCCCTCTGCTCAAGCAGGAGACCCTTACAGAATGACAGAATAAGAGTTGGAAGGGACCTTGGAGGTCTTCTAGTCCAGCCCCCTGCTCAAGCAGGAGCCCCTTACAGAATTACAGAATAACAAGAGTTGGAAGGGAGCTTGGAGGTCTTCTAGTCCAGCCCTCTGCTCAAGCAGGAGACTTTAGACCATTTCAGACAAATGGCTGTCCAGCGTCTTCTTGAAAACCTCCAGTGATAGAGCACGCACAACTTCTGGTGGCAAGCAGTTCCACAGGTTAATTGTCCTCACTGTTAGGAAGTTTCTCCTCAATTCCAGGTTGCTTCTCTCCTGGATTAATTTCCATCCAATTGATAGAGATAGTCCTCAACGTATGACCACGATTGAGCCCCAAATTCCCCTTGCTAAGTGAGATGATTAAAGCGAGTTTTGCTCCGTGTTTGCAACCTTTCTGGCCACAGATGTTAAGTGAATCGCGGCCGTGGGTAAGTTAGGAACACGGTTGTTAAGCGAATCGGGCTTCCCCGATGGATTTTGCTTGTCGGAAGGCCGCCACAGGGAAATCACGTGACACCACTGCCACCACCACCCCGGGACACTGCGACTGTCGTAAATGTGAACCAGTTGCCAAGCGTCAGAATTTGGGTCCTGTGACCACAGGATGCTGCAACGGTCGTAAGTGTGAAAATGGCACTTAAAACCTATAGCAGACTAGCCAATAACTCAGTGTTGCCCTGGTATTTATTTAGTTATAGGGGAAAAATGTCCGGATCAAACGTATTTTCTAATGTTGGATTTTCCCTCTTATGAGAGGGAGCCCCCTTGTGGAGTACTGTGAAGCCGTTACCAGGGCAATTCCTCTGCACTGCACAGTAGAAGCCATTTTACAGCAGTACGATAGAAGCCGTTTTAAGGCACAACAGGCTGTATCTTAACAGAACACACACCCTGAGGGTTTTAGGGGTGTCTTACCCCAGAGCATGGCAACTAATCAGCAATGCGCGCACGTACTCTCTCTCTCCCTCCCCCCCAGGACTGCCAAAACACGTCTTGACTTGGTAATCCACAGCCAAGAGATGATGTATACAAAAAAGGGTAGGTGCCCCCTCCCAAGAGCTGAGGTGGCGCAGTGGTTAAATGCAGCACTGCAGGCTACTGCTAGATCAGCAGTTCAGCGGTTCAAATCTCACCGGCTCAGGGTTGACNTCTCTCCCTGTGAGGGTGATAGTTTAGGTGAAGTGCGGGTATCAGGCCCGGTAGAGCCTCCAGCCCACGGGACTCTCTACCTGAACCCGAGCTCGCTGGAGCTTGCATCACTCTTGCAAAAAAGGCTTTGGCAAGCAAGGCAATTCAATCCGGCCGAAGCCGCCGCCTGTCCTGGGGACAGCTGGCACGGACTCAAGCATGCCCGTTCCCGTGGCGACATTGTCGTCACAACCGGCGCAGGACACCCTATAACCTTTCCTGCTCTTTCCAAGGGGGTGGTGGGGTTGAGAAAGCCGGTTCGGCAGCCCCCTCCTCATTCCCCTTCTGGGGGGGGGGGAGAAACCCAATCTCCGTGCTAAATCGAGCCCCAGTGCCAGCCTGATGCCAGGCGGCTGGGTGGGCATTGCAAAACAGGAGACTTTTCACATACCTGCAATCTCGGCTGCTCCGCGATACACGCCACACCTTGCTGGGACAGGAGAGGCACATGCGTCCGTCCGTCGGCCATCGGTGGGACGGGGGGTTCTTCCCCCCCCAACCTCCGGCCAGATTTGCAGATCCGAGGAGGCGCAAGAACAACGCAGCAACTCTGCTTCGGGAGCGACCATGCCAGCCTAGCTAAAAAAAGCCGCCGTCTCCTGGTGCCAGCACATTGCTTGGCTAGAGCATCTGGGGTCCAGCTTGCCCTGCGATGAACACAACACCCAGGGTTGTTTTTTTTTTGGCACCCGGCGTGGGTCATGTGGAGCCCCCGGCGATGCCAAGTGTCAGCAGGAAGAAAAAAACAGCCCGTATCAGCGCCGGGGGAAAGAGTCAAGAGGCTGGCATTTTGCAAACTTCCTTGTCAACAGCCGTGCTTGGAAGCTGGGTCTAGGGAAATGGGGGTCAAGCCCCCCCCTCCGCCCCCCCATCATCATGGGGGTCTTGGAAGAAAGTGAAGTTGGTGGAGAAAAAAATATGGGTGGAGGGAGGGGAGCTGGGCCAGGATCGAAGCTCGGTGGCACATATATAAAAAGAAACCGGAGTGTAAAAGGTATTTATAGACAGGGAGGCAGGAGTCTTGTCTTTCTCAACTTTGCAACTCCAAATTAATCGGTGGACTTCAACTCCCCGAATTCTCCAGCCAGCCAGCTGACTGGGCTTAGTAGACAGTTAAGTATCAATCAATCAGAATAGAACTGGGATCTTGGAGGTCTTCTAGTCCAGCCCTCTGCTCAAGCAATTGAGCCTTACAGAATGACAGAATAACAGAAGAGTTGGAAGGGACCTTGGAGGTCTTCTAGTCCAGCCCTCTGCTCAAGCAATTGAGCCTTACAGAATGACAGAATAACAGAAGAGTTGGAAGGGACCTTGGAGGTCTTCTAGTCCAGCCCTCTGCTCAAGCAATTGAGCCTTACAGAATGACAGAATAACAGAAGAGTTGGAAGGGACCTTGGAGGTCTTCTAGTCCAGCCCTCTGCTCAAGNTCAAAGGTAAAGGTTCCCCTTGCACATATGTGCTAGTTGTTCCCAACTCTAGGAGCAGTGCTCATCTCAGTTTCAAAGCTGAAGAGCCAGTGCTGTCCAAAGATGTCTCTGTGGTCATGTGGCCAGCATGACTAAATGCCAAAGTCACACGGAATGCTGTTACCTTCCCACCAAGGTGGTCCCTATTTTTCTACTTGCATTTTTACATGCTTTTGAACTGCTAGATTGGCAGAAGCTGGGACAAGTAAAAGGAACTCATTCCATTATGTGGCACTAGGGATTCGAACCGCCAAACTGCTCATCTTTCTGATTGACAAGCTCAGCATCTTAGCCTCTGAGCCACCACATTTCAAAGGTAGGCTCACTCTCAAATGACCAGATTCTTATTCATGTAACAGGGCTTCTTCTCACTTTCTGTCACCATCTGCATGTCTCCAGATTCAACTCCATCCATCTGGAACAGATCTGGAGATGCCTTGTAGGTAGGTAGGAATAGGACTTCATTGTGTTGACAGATGGCATTCCACCTCCTGATACAATCTGAATATTTTCTGGTTTTCCCCATATTCATATAATATTCTCATAAAATGAAAATGACATGTCTCATTTTCATATGTTTATATTTATGTCTGGGGAAATGTGATTATAGTTTTGCATACAAAAATGATATTTCTCAGCACTCTAATCCAATAAAGATCATTAAAGTAGATAAACCAAAACTGATAAACTCAGGTAGTGAATTACAAATTTGGAGATAATATGTAAACGTCCCATATTTATGGCTTACTGTAACTATTGATTTCGATCTTTCAGAGTATGATGGCTGAATGCCTCTCTCAACAGAGTCCTTGAAATATGTAATCAACTGGGCTATGACAATCTCATCATAAAATCTCATCAAGAATACATGCTTACAGACACTTGGTCCATATTATGGAATATCAATAAATAATGGGCAACTGTTCATGAGAAAAAGTTATTAAGGTTAGGTTAGGTTAGGTTTATTTCATTTATATGCCGCCCTATTCCCAGAGGGACTCAGGGCGGCTAACAAACCCAGGGGAGGAAGTAATACAGACAAGGCAAAAACAACAAACAGGATACANTAGATAGATAGATAGATAGATAGATAGATAGATAGATAGATAGATAGATAGATAGATAGATAGATAGATAGATAGACAGACAGTAAGTAAATAGATACAGTAGATAGATATGGTAGTTATAGATAATATACAAATGAGAGACAGACAGACAGAACAAAGAATTATGTAGATGATAAGACTGAAGGTATAGAATGACAGATTGATATAGTTAGACAGACAGATATAGATGAGAGAGGGTGGGGGATAATACTAATGTTATCCTCTATATTCCCATAAATCAATAAAAATAAAAGAAATATTTCTTAAAAAAAAAAAAAACTAACCCATTTGGACCCTGTACTCCCTTCAGCGCATCTACATGCCACCCATCAAATTTACTCACCACTGGATCCTTCACTATGTCGGCAAGGGTGATGATGTTGGGACCACCTCGCAGGTTCTCCAGGATTTTGATTTCTCGTTTAATTTTCTTCTTTTTCACCGGCTGAGCAAAGGGAAAAAAAACCAGTTAACTGGGACAGGCAAAACTCCAGGAGAAAGGGGGGGGGGGGAGAGAACACTGTAACTGCAACTAGCTTTTCTTTTTTTTTTAATAAATATTTTTTTAATTTTAATTAAAACAAGTACAGCATCTTTCTTTATATCTGTAGAAAATGTATCAATCGATTACAGAGCCTCCACAATCAACAAACATAACTCATATTACCTCAAGCATTATTGTATATCCATTTTCATTTGACTGTACTTATTAAACTAGCTTTTCTTACTGATTCTGTTTATTGAATATATTTGTTACAACCCCCACACCCCTCTCCCCAAGGCTGCATTTAATTTCGCAGCAGAAAAACAGCAACTGCATCGTGGGAGTTTGTTGAAGCAAATATTGTGTCTTTTAAAAAAGGTTTATATAAATTCAGGGGAGAGATGAACAGGAAACTGGTTAGACAAAGGATCAAAGCATCAATAGAAGAGACTATTTCTTGTTTAGGATTAAACTGGAGGTCCTTGGTGCTCTCATAACTGAGTTTTTTTTCTTACAGACATCTCAGGACCCAACTAGGGAACATCATCAAGGATGTGGGGTTTGTGGGGAGGAGGAGGCAGAGGAGAAGGGAGAAGAGAGAGACTGTGGGTTTCTTGGTGTTCTCTGAGCTTGGTGGACTCGGGAGTTTTCTTCACTGAAAAACAGGACTTCCCATGACAATAGAATGGTGAAAGGAGGTGGAAATTCAAAAACAGGGTTTGCAACATTCTGGAAATCTTGTTATTTTGAGAGAAAAACAAGGGAAAAAAACCCACTGGCCCTGGAACCCACACTGAGCTGTTTGGAACTGGGCCCTTAGGAGTTAATTATCCTATGATCCCTAATTAATGAAGGCAAAGAAGGGCAAAAAAACAAGGACCCTTTTCTCAAAGCCACAACTCAAAATATGTTTTCTTCTGTGCAAATGTGATTTGGGAATGGCTCCCTAGGTTTCCTTCCCAGTAGAACACAACAAGCCACCGTAGCTCCTTTTTAAAAGAGAGTTGCATATTTCCATATGCAAATATTTAAGTTATATAAAAGAACAGAATAACAGAGTTGGAAGGGACCTCGGAGGTCTTCTAGTCCAGCCCTNCTTGTTGGTGATAAATGCCAACGATAAAACATTTTTTATATATTTTCTTTAAGTGCTGCTGATCGTGTTAGTTTATAATTTGTGTTCCAAATTCTTTCCCAGTCCACTAGATCTGTGTTGTAACCAAAGTTTTTGGCCCACGCTATCATGCAACCTTTAACTTTTTCTTACTTCTAATAAATATTTGTAATTTTCGTTATGAATTTACTTTCTAACGCAACAAGGAAGCTTAACTGCGCTCAATCTCACACTGCATGGACGCTATTCGAGGCGGCATAAAAACGTGCAGCCTTAAAAACATTCGCTGAACTGGCCCTTGGCCTAATTTAACATTTTCCTGTCTCGATCCCTGTAGCCGAGGACGTTTTTCCCACTGGTTTTCAGAGGGGAGGGGGCTGCAACGCACATATAATTGACTCCTCACCCACCCCAAGTCCAATCTATTACATAGCAGGCACCTACAGCCGTTTCTTCTGGCTCCATAAAGAGTTGTTAAGCGAGCTCTGCCTGACTTTGCTATCATATTTTTTTGGGGGGGTCACTGTTGTTAAGAAAAACACACAGCGGTTGTGTGAAATCACATGGTCGTTAAGCGAATCGGGCTTCCTCCGTGGACTTTGTCAGAGGCCAGCTGGGAAGGTCACCAAGGGTGAGGGATCAGGATTGCTGCAGCCACTAAAAAGGCAGGGCCCCCTTGCCTCCGAATTCTGATCACATGAACCCCTAAGGATGCTGAAAGGAAGGGCTGTAACTCCCTTTTTCTTCAGGGCCGCCCTAACCTCGGACGGCTGTTAAATGAATGGTTGTAAGACGAGGATTCCCTATAGCAGTGACGGCGAACCTTTTGGGCAAACTGGAATGTGTTTGCATGAGCCGGAGTGCCCCCAAGACCAGCATGCCTGTTTTTGGGCCATTTTCGGACTGTTTTAACCCAAGAAAATGGTCCCAAAATTGCCCTGAAAATGCCCCGAAAAACAGCCTGAAAATGCCCTCCAAAATGGCCTGAAAATGCCCCCCAAAACGACCAGTTTTTGGCTGGTTTGGGGGCCGTTTTCCAGGCCGTTTCCAGCGCCCATGAAGACCAGCTGGCGTTTTAGCTTTTTAACCATTGACGTCTTCTTCATTCGACACACATTTTCACCCAAATCGATTGACAAGCAACTCAAAACGGAATGCGGGAGCACTCCAAAATATATCAGATTATCAACACGCTACCAGCTTCATCGTCATCCCTTTGTTCCCAGGTCCCCAATCAAAGCTTCCTCTCCCCTCCCTCACCGAAGCCAAGAAATTTGAAAAACGGAAAACCGTACCTTAAAATCTGTATTGTTCACGTGCTCAAACACCAAGGCAGGGGTCCGTGACTAGGAGAGGGAAGGAAGAAAGGGAGGAAGGAAGGAAGGAAGAGAGAAGGTCGTCAGCTGCGGGTCTTCCAATGCATGATTTATTAGGCAGCATTCAAGGCTGCTCAGAGACTGACTGACTGCTGGCTGACATTTCTAGAGTCCAGGAAAAGCTTAGCGGGAGGAGGCTGCGTTTTGTAGCAAGCCGAATTAATTCTGAGGCCTGATCTGATCAAACTGTTCAGAAAAACCTGGGGGGGGTGTTTCCAGGGGGGGGGGAGAGAAACAGAGGCAAAAAACAGGAAATAAAATATCACTTTTTACCATTTTAGGATCCTGTGATCAAAAACACCTGAAATGCTGAGCTACCTGATGATTATACGGTCCTGGAGGTTTCCTGATGGGAGTTATTATTTGAAATGACAAAGGCAACAGGGGTTTGTAAGCAATTTTGCCCATCCTCCCCAGATTCGGCTTATGCACGGGGTGTGTGTGTGTGTGTGTGTGTGTGTGTGTGTGTAAGCGTGTCTACCGTCCCCGTCTTACTGCCCCCATTTAGCTCTATTTAATTCCTTTGTTCATGTTTTATGTTCATGCCTATACTTGTTATCTTGTACATGTTTTACAAACCAACAAATAAATTATAAAAAATGTGCTATTTGCCTAGTCCGGAGATAGGAGAGCCATCTGCAATTTGTGAGCTAGGCTCTGTGCCTCTGATGAACTAGATTTTATTTTGAAAAAGCTAGGATTTATTAAGTTTATATGCTGCCCATCTCAGTGTCGAGACTCTGGGCAGCAAACACCAATACAAAGACAGAATAAACACTGCCCAGAATCCCTCTATGAAGGAGAGGGTCAGTGTTAAAATGTGACAGACAGATAGACAGACGGATGGATAAATATAGACAAGAAAGATGATTAGGTAGGTAGGTAGGTAGGTAGGTAGGTAGGTAGGTATAGAGATAGATAGATGGATGGATGGATGGATGGATGGATNGAGCCACAACAGGTAGTCCTGGACTTACGTTTACGTTTACGTTTATTAGGATTTGTATGCCTGGAGAATTCTGGGAGTTGAAGTCCACAAGTCTTAAAGTTGCCAAGTTTGGGAACCACTGCATTAAAGGATGCAGGCTCCATCCTCATGGGAGGAGATGGGATATTTTCCCTCCCCCCCCCTCTGTTGACTTTGTCAATATTTAATATTGCTGGATGAGAGCTAAAAGTTTGTAAATTTGTTATATCCTGTATACAAGACTTCAGTTCATCAACTTGTAGGGAAGGACTTTGACTTCCAGCTTAAAACTGAAAGCGTGCAGGATGATTGTACAGCTTTTTCACACAGCTATACAATCATTTATTTAGTGATTGTTTGAAGCTACAACGGTGCTGGGAGAAAGTGACCTGCAACCAGGCCTCACCCTTGGCGACGGGCATGTATTTATAATGGTTGCAGAGCCCCAGGGTCAAGTAATCATCATCTATACTCTTCAGAATCAGCTTCCGACAAGCCAAGTCAAAGGGGGAATCTGGATTCACTTAACAATTGCAGTGATTCACTTAACAACTATGACAAAAAGTTGTAAAATCAGGTGTGATTCACTTACCAACTGCCTTCCTTAGCAGTGGAAACAGTTCCATAAGTTGAGGACTACCTATATCAAAGGGGAGAGTTGCTAGGTTCCAAGTTGTATAGAGTCTTTATTGCCAGGAGCAAAACACTGAATATAGTTTTTCAAATAATTGCTGAAACTATGCTAAGTAACTAGCCCAGTTGCTTCAACGTAGGTATAAAATGTACATGACCAGGTGTAGTAACATAATTCTGCAATTCTGCACCAGCAACAGGTTCTGGCCAAACTTTATCAGATTACTATATTGCAAACATCATGTGTAATAATCCAAATGTGGCAATATGAACACATTTATTACAATACTTGGGTAAATGACCATAACAGAATGTAGCTGTTATACCAACTTAAGTTGGTTAAAAAATGTACTTGTGCATAGAAACCATTTGGACTTTCAGTTCGATATTGACTGTACTTTAAATATCAACGTATCCAGTATCCAGTTCACCAATTCAGCCCCTCATCGAGCCAAATCCATCCAGCAGTAGATGGAGAAGCATGGTGTTCGACTCCTGGATTGGCCAGCTCTGAGCCCAGATTTGAACCCAATTGAGAACTTGTGGGCCAAGATTGGTTACGAAATAAGCAAGAAGCATCCGACGACCAAGCAGCAGCTGATTGAATCCATTATTGCAGCCTGGCACCACATTGTCACCAAAGATCACGTGCAAAGGCTTATATAACCGGTGCCGTCTTAACTAGTGATATACAAAAAGGTTTGTTCCCTGGAAAAAGTAAGGCAGTTTTACTTACTTTTAAGAGTGAATAGGAGTGAAAGGGGATTTTCACTGCTATTCAATGGTTTCAGAGAAGGATCAATCTGAACTGAGAGTATTGGAGAAAGTGTGGTGATTGTGGTGGCCGGTTGTCTTGTCTGCAGTGGCCTTAAAAGTTCTTACTCTTGTGAGTGTATAATAGGAATATTGACCGCAAGTG